TACAGATTCTGTTTGGGTGCTTCTTCTGACAGGGCCTTTGTGTCCATGATGGACGGGCCTTTCCCAAGCCACTCGCGGGACACCATTACGAGAGAGGACCTTTCCGCCGAGTGACTCTATCCGATTCTTTTCCGAAGGAACGTCGGGCTTGTGGTCGGCAGTGAGAGGGACCGCTTGTAGTTTCTTTTCTTTACTCAATCGGCCGAGAGCAGCGCCTGAATCGCCCACGTGAGCTATGTACAGTGTTCTACCTTTAAAAATAACAACAGTTGCAGTGGTTCCGGATGTGCTTGGCAGTCCATGTCTTGTACGAGGCCAAGAATCTAGCAGGAAAAAAAACGTTAAAAATAATTTTATGTTAAATTTTCTTGCAGAGGTGATGCGTTGAATTGTTTTAAATGAACCTTGAGGCAAACTGTTTTTAAAATAGGCATTATTTTCCTTTCTTTTCTGTTATAAAGCTTATAAGCAATGGTAACATTGCAGGAAACGTAGTAAAGTGGGGATGAGGGTTGGGTGCACCGGAAAAGCCAAAGTACCGTAACATCTGCGAAAAGAGAATGATTAGAATCTTTCCGCCCTTCTCGGTACAAGGTACAAAGGAACAAAATTCGACCAAAACGAAATCGAAAAAATGAAATAAGATACAGTGTCTAGACTATCACGGAAAAAAAAATTCGCTTCTTTCGCTTTCTTTGTCACTTCAACTCAAATGACCTTGGATAACATTTGCTGGTGTTTTGTGAGCCGATTGATCACGTGTTCCTCAAGTGATCACAGACATCTGACAGACCACTGACTTGTCAATGTGAAGTGTGGGAAGCAAAAGGAAAACATAGGCATGCGTAGCATGCAAAGAGTTATTTTCATGCTGGGTGGGTTGAGATGGGACACTGTGTACTTAATGTTTTCATTTTTGTACCAGAAAAAAGCATAACTTTTAAAAGAACGAACGTGATGGAATGTAAGCTGTTTGACGTGTGCTTTGTGATTAAAGGAGAGGAAAACAACGTCTTAACTTAAAATTTAAATGCGAACTTTCATATCCCGATAAATGTCGACCTTGGTCGACGAGGCTCTCGCGAAGACCCAAACTTTCTGGCTAATGTCATTCTTTCTGCACAGCACCTGATCCAGGACATCATTTACAAGAAAACAATACCCAAACGCTGTGATTGGTGCAAGACATCCAAATATTGTGATATGACAGGTGTAAGATACATACCCTAATGCGGCAATTTGATTGGTGCGAACAACATACCCCTCTAAACACTAAGTTAGAGTGATTTATTTTTTTAGAAAAAAAAAAACTCATAAAGGCAGCGTTCGGAGCAAAATTAGCGAATGAGAAGTTCACATCGACATTTAGTCAAATTAATTTGGCATTAATGACTGAGTTGATAACGTAAATTTACCACCGTTGATAGTTTTGAAGCTGACATTTCGAGCGTTAGCCCTTCGCCGCAGCGACTGACAAACTACCTTGTTCTGCTTCCACCGACGCAGCACCGCAGTTTCTTTAGAAACTTGCTCTCTTTATTCACTTGGTCAAATTGGCCCGTCTGAATTAAATGTTAATATGGGTAGGTAATTGTAAAGACAATTTTTATTAATTTTGTCTACACAAAATTGTTTGGGTGTGTGCGTGTGTTTTTTAACTAAATATTTGCCCTCTGGGCAGGGCTTCTGTAAACCAAATTTCCCTCCTTAGCTTTCGGAAGTTAAAATTTTACGACAAACGCATTGACGAGAGCGAATGAGGATGTTCAGGAAAATCAGGCGAAATGAAAGGAAAACAATGTTCAAGTGCCGAGCATTGATTTCGTAAATTGCTTCGTTTTGTCGATGCATGTTTTTATTTCTTTTAGGGAGATAGTGCGTGACCGATTGTTTTATAATCGAAGTTGATCGACAGGTGTCAGCCACAAGCCTATTTTTCAGAATATTCAAAACAGTACGATGTATATTTCACTTCCGGTGTAAAACCAAAATCTAATCGTTTTCAAACTTTTTCCTTCCGGCAATATATCAAATATTCCGTTTAAGCCTTGTGTACATTCATGTAAACTCAATATCAAAAATACCATGACGTAGCAATCATGCAAAACATTTTACTAATTTAATCAAAATATTTCAGTTGTGTAGCTTCCAAACAGTTTCTATCGTCTCAACGTATATGATAGCCTGGGGGATCGGACACTAAAACATCGCAAATCTTTGTATTTTTATGATAAGGGTCATTTTTGAGTGCTTCGTAAGTTTGTATTCGCAAAGTAAAATTGCTCTCCTTCAAGGCTTTTAAGCGGCGAAAGAAGCATGTTTATTTTGCATATGAAAAGCGAACAACGGGATATAAAATTACTCTCGTCTCTGCGAAGCGCGTCACGAATTATTAATCGGACTCATAATTTTGGCGGAAAAAATACGAAGTGTTGACTTATCCTCGATTTTACATCGCTAACGGGGAGAACAAGATAGAATGGGGTCGATCGCGAAAGCTTTTCACGCGGGAATATAAATCGCTTCAACGAGAAGGAAATACAGATCGAAAGTAATCCATACTCACCGAGTTGTTTCCACATCGCGCAATGTGTAGCCATGAATCCATCCTTGATAGCTTTAATAACACGTGATGTTTCACCCGAGTAAAATCCCTTCTGTCCCTTAATCATGTCCCATAAATGTTCCCGGGCAAAGTGTGCAGCGTCCCTTCCACCGTGGCCGTCGAAAACCGCGAAAAATGCCTGTTCTGGATCGCGATCGAACTGCACGCGTTTAAAATCTTCCATTTCTTTCCGACCACCTTGGTTAGCTTGGCCATTTACTCGCACAATAATCTTCCTGGTTTTCGTTTTTTTGGACATTTTCGTTGTGTTGTTCGGTTATACTGCGTTTGCCATGCAAAACTTCGGCGAGTAATTTGTAATTTGCCCGCTCTCATGAATTATTCATATCTTTGTCTGAAATAGACAGCTGTTCATTAATTTGTCGGCTTATTTTCAAATCTGGCCAATCACGGCACGGATCACTCGGGGTATAAATAATGAATTTCTGATAGCAGCCAATGAACGCGCATGTTGGTGGAATGGCCTCAGGTCACACAAACATTGTACGCGCTCAAACTTGCCCCGAAACAACGACTGAACGTCAAACCGTGCCGTGATGTCATAACCCACAATTTCTACGAATGTACGAGCAAGCCTGCACTTGCCTGGATTTCCATTTAGACAAAAAAGAAAGGTTCTAAACATGCCCGAATATCTGGAATTGCATGGTTTTTTTTAAATTGGTTAGATATCTAATTGCAAACTTTATTCAATCTTTGTTCAAACTCGGTTTTTGGGGCCGAATCGCAAATTCTTCACATTCAAAAAGTGTATTACTAAATAACAAAAATATTTCTTTTTCAAAAAATCGGTTGACCGTGACTATCTTGCATGTGAAATTTGATATACTTCTGAGTTGCCTTTCCAAAAAAGAGGTTCTTGCTTGTTATGACGATTCCCCTCGTAAGTCAAACCCCGGACATTTATCAATTGCGAACTCTCAATCGTAGGAAATATATTCAGACGGTGCGGCTGATCGCTAACATTTTGCGGCATTATGTTTTGGTTTCGTCATGGTTTGGTGATGTAAAACAAGACGCCCGCATTGAATAAACGGGAAAGAGATGGAGTGGTTATATTCTAAGCCAGATACGAAAGGGTGAATAATTGGTCAAAAAGGGTATAATACAAACAAGTAGATGTGTCTGGCCTAGTTCTTTGAATGATAAATAACGCTAACCATTGAATAATTGTCTGTTCGGTGGATAGTGCAACGATTTGTTTTCAATTATCCAATGGTCCAATGGATAGCGAATTATCTGTTGGATAGTGCTTTGTGCCTCAAAACAACTGGGCCCTAGACTAAGGGCGAAGCACTCCTTGCGAAAAAAAAAAAATCTGCCCCTTCTCCCCCCTAGGGAATAGACCCATAGGAGGAAACTAAAAACAGCTGACCAAGCATAAAGCGGACTTGTAAGTCCATATCAAGACAATACGTGATCAGGCATGCCTTTCTCTGGCAGCAAGCAAAACGGAAATGCCTCCCAATGAAGCCTAAGAGAGGGCCTTCTTCACCAACTTAGCTTGTGGCGCGAATTGAAGGAAATCAGCAACAAACAAAAAAAAAAAAGAGAAAAAACAGTCAGCGATTCCTGTCGCTCCATGAGTTCTCTTTGCACTACTTAATTTTTTTCTCTGACTTCTTCTCGCAACTTCAGACATCCCATGTACGTCTCGGTAGCGCGAAAGAGTATATATTATGGGCGCGGGCGGTGCGTAAAGCCTTTGTAACTTCCTTAATACTGCCACCAGGCTTCCCGCAACCCGCACAACCCGTTGCCACTGAGCTTTTATGTCGCACTTGAAGGTCGCGAATTATAGGTTTAACAATTATAGAGATGACATGATCCCATTGTCTTTTAGGGCCAGTCAATGTCTCCCTGAGCTTTTTAAGATTTGCATCATGGGATAATTGTTTGAGTTGTTAAAAAGAGTTTCTGTCCCATAATCAAAATCACGCTTTCGTCAGGAGACCAGATATTGCCTCGGGTAACCTTTTTCGCTGTACAAATTTAATCATAAAACCTTTTTCATGTGATTTGAAACTTACCGGATGGGAGGGGAGGGAAAGGTAGTAAGAATCCTGGAGGTTGAAGATCGTTTTGCATAGAGATGAAAAAATTGGAAAGTTCTCGGAATTATACTTTTGCTTTTAAAATTCTTTCCTTAGCTGAAGCACGTGCTTGCTGCAGAACGGGGGAAGGGATATCAAGTTCAGTGCTTTTTAGCTTCAGGTCCCCTACCCTATTCTGTGAGCAGCGCAAAATAAAACACGATTTTTTTGTGGGAGGGGCTGGCTGCGCATAGGGTCACAGGCAAACTGAACCCCCACTGACCCACTCAGGGACTGCTTCAAATGCGTCCTCTCTTCCCACTAGTTCCTAGTCCTTCTCATCTCAACTTTCACTGGTGATTTTCCATTCGATTTGTCACATTAAAATTATTCGCTAAAACAATGTTTCTCCGACAAGCATACGGCCGACTATCCAATGCATTATCTCCTAACGTCACAGGTAAAGACACTTTTTAATTCTAGTGTAAAATTATGCATGCGAAAGTTTGTTGTGATCTGGAAAGGTTCGTCACAAAAGCTTCCACAAGTACCAGCTATGTTTGTATTTTTTCTTGAAGGACTGAACTATCTTAAGACTTTTTGAAGCCTAGCATTTAAATTCCAAGACTTAGGGGGGTAATTGTGGGTGTATTATGTAAAATTTTACATCTTTTTTTGAATTCGAAAATGGTTTGGCTTTTGTTTTGCCAATTTCCCAAAATGTTCAAGCGTTACTTTCGCAATCGTGCGCGTGATCTTCCATATTCCCTGATTTAATTATCATCCCTTGTATTATCCTATTGTTCTACCAGTAAAGTAGTTTTCTTCTGTTTCGATCGACCGTTATCTAAAACTACTCAGAGCACGTCTGTTCTGCTTTGTCGGTGTAACATTCCAGGGTAACTCTCAAGGGATTTTTTTACTAGTAATATTTTTTGCCAGATACAGGATAGCATGTAAATAAAACACGTGGTTACTGAATTTGACACCTGATCACGTCTTACACCATAAGTAAATTTTTAACCTCTCAGGAAGAGAAAAACTTCAATAATTACATGACTCAATGATTCCAGTCCTAGTATAATTGATATATCTCTCAACTTCAGATAACAGACAGGAAATCTTTCCCCCTCCTGCCACTCCCATAGAAAACCGTCTGTCAGTTGTTGATGGCAACATGATTTTGTATGAAGAATTCTTCACTCAAAGCTGTGTACATCCAAACAAAAGAAATCTTGGTTTTGAAATAAATTTTCCAGAACAATGGAAAATCTACTCCACAAGTTCTTTTGTCTTCCTTTAAACTAGGATTTTTCATAACTTTCAGTTTACCAGCATATCCTTACAACATTACTTTGTATTAAAGAAGATAATCCCATGAAATGTGGTTAGCTTAGTGAAGCTCATGATTGTGGAGTCTAGGATAACTATAAACCCATATCAAACTTGACCATAAACATAGGGTCTAATGTAAATGGTAAGTTTGAGTAAAATTCAATTTGTCAAAAGTTTTTTTCTGCTTCTGCCAAGCATCTAGATATTATTACTATGGATAAACATACTAGTGGCAGAGGAAGAAGTGCATTTGAATTCAATGGCCATGATGATGTCTAACTTCTCTCTAGTCATCTATTATTCATTCTCAAAAAAAAATAAAACAGAAGGGAAAAAACCATACAAATGGAAAAATTCAGTATTAGAGAAGATTGGTTGGAAGGGGGATTCCCTCCTCCATATTCTTGATATCATGTTTGTCTTCTGTGTTTTGTGTTAACCAAGTACTAATTTTGTGTTTCCCTCGGTCAAACATGAACTTTAGACGCTTTTAATATTAAGTTATTAAGATGGGTGAATTTTTATGTTTCAACTAATGAAGGATTGTCAAAAACTATTTTACAGAAAAACTTGTTGCCCGGTTTAGTTCATCAACTTCAGCCTCCAAACCCAAGGTAATAAATATTAAGAGTAACAATTCTGTAACTCCTTGAAGTAATAAACATGTAACTTCTCCCTAAAAATATCCGTATGTTATTCAGCAAACAGGTATTGAGAAAACTTGAACTTATCAGCTAATAGTTGTTATCATGACATGACACCAAATTCTCGTAACTGATTTACAAGGAATGTGTAGCAACTAGAGTTGAGAATTAACAATCAGATCTTGGGAGTCAAAGGGTTAACATTAACAACCAAAGAGTTTATGGAGTAGTGCTCAATATGACACCTGTTACAAAAGTGTGAAGGAAACACAAATATTTAAACATTGGTTTGGTTTTTGTTTTTAGAAAACAACCCAGTTGAGAAAGATGCTGGAATCACCAGAACTAGAATTCATCATGGAAGCACACAATGGATTGAGTGCTAAAATTGTACAAGAGGCTGGTAGGTTGGTAATACTTAATATGATCACCCACAGTTGTCCCTAGGCACTGGCTACTGGCAATATTCACCTATTGAAAAATGGGCAAATTGGCAGCTAGACTTTTAGGTAGTGATTGCTATGTGAAGCACTTGAAATTTCAGCCAGTAGCTTAATTTCTTAGCTACAACCCTGATAATTTGATTAAAAAATTAGGTAATATAATTAGCATGGCTCTACATGTCAAGTCTATGTAGTCACTTAGGGAATTGATGATTATTTTAAGGAAATAAATTCACAAGGGAATGAATCCTTTCACTTCCCAGACCAATTAATCGTTTCTCCTCTATGTTATAACCTCAGTCAGGTATTTCAATAAGAGCTGGTGATGGGCAATGTCCGCCATCAATATCAAGCAAAATTGCCGCCTATTTTCTCTAAAATTAATAACATTAGAATAGAGGTTGAACTTCTATTAGCACTGTCAGTGGCTTAAATATATTTGGTTTGGTTTTTTTTCACCACAATAATCCTTGTCTTGTTTCTAAGGAAATGACACTACAGTGATACCATTTTGCAGGTTTTAAAGGTGTCTGGGGTAGTGGTTTGTCAATCTCTGCCCAGCTGGGAGTACGCGATAGTAACGAAGCATCTTGGACTCAAGTCATGGAAGTGATGGAATTCATGAGTGATGCCACAGACATCCCAATATTACTAGATGCTGATACTGGTTATGGTAACTTCAATAATGCTCGACGTTTGGTGACAAAACTTGAACAGAGAGGTATTGCTGGAGCATGTATTGAGGACAAGCTTTTCCCCAAGACGAACTCTTTATTAGATGGCAGAGCGCAGCCACTGGCTGATATTGATGAGTTCTGTGCAAAGATCAAAGCTTGCAAAGGTAGTATTTTCTGGTGACAACTTGAGTAACCCCTTACTCCCTAACATCAATAAACTGCTAAATTTTTTTCATTGGATCTTTTATTAGATACACAGACAGACCCAGATTTTAGTATTGTTGCAAGAGTTGAAGCTTTTATTGCTGGGTGGGGCCTTGATGAAGCTCTCAGAAGATCAGAAGCCTACCGCAATGCTGGGGCTGATGCTATCTTGATGCACAGCAAGAAATCTGATCCTTCAGACATTGAGGCTTTCATGAAAGCTTGGAAAAACCAGGTGCATCGATGACTGTTGACAAAAGTTTAATATTTTAAGGAAAATTAATTTCAAGCTGAATAATTACCCAATCTCACATCTATCCCTGTACCAAAATATTTTCATGTGATCTAGTACAGTAACACATACCAGAGGGGTTGAAAGATACCCATGACCCTTCTTTATGAGATAATTGTTCTCAATCCACAAAATACAAACTTCATAATTCTGAGGATGGAGGCTCATGAATTGCAAGAATCTGTTTGCTTGGCAGAAATCTTTTCCATTACCTAATACTCCATTTAATGGTCCTTCTCATCATGTGGATGTAAGCCCTCTAACACAGATGGTAGAACAAAGCTGTCAGCTACCTCACCAAGGGTGCGCAGATATTCATAACTATGACCTTCCCCCTATTTTTGTTTGAAAAGTCGTAGCTATGCTTGTTGATATTAAGAAGAAGCAATTTCTAATTGGGGTTTCATGTAGTTCTAAGGGTTGCTCTTTGAATAAACCTTAGTGATAACTCAAATTTTTTATAGATTAGTTATAACCAGGTTATCTTACGATCTTTATTAACAGGGTCCGGTAGTAATTGTACCAACCAAGTATTACACTGTGCCAACAGACCAGTTCAGAGACTGGGGTGTGTCTCTTGTGATCTGGGCCAATCACAATTTGAGGGCATCAATAACAGCAATGCAGAACACCACACAGCAAATCTACAAAGACCAGTCACTTGTTAATGTTGAAAAGAAGGTGAGTTGTAACTGACCCTTTATACCCCAACATCTGTACACAAATTCTCCATACTGTCTTCTATACATTTCCCAAGGTTTTAACAAAGAGAATTTGTTAAACAGTCAAGAGCTTCATTAGTTGACAATCATTTCCTTTATTTCAGGACCTAAATGTGTGATTCAGGGGTGATAAAGAGATAGCAGATGCTATTCACTCTAAAGGGTTAAGAGAGGTGTTTGAAAAGCGACAAATGGTGAACTAGTCAGGGAGGGGAGGTTGAGTGGGCAATAATAAAAAGTGGGGTTACATGAGGTGACTTGGAGTTTCTTATCCCTTTAACCCTTTAACTCCCATGAGTGACCAAGACTGAATTTCTCCTGAAACTATCAATACAATATCAAGCAGACAAGTGATGAGAATGAAAAAAAATATATATTAAGTCGGGGATTATTAGTTGATCCAATATCAAATTCTCCAAACTAACATCACAAGAACTGTATAGCAGACAGTAAGGAGAATTACTGATGAGATCTTGGGAGTTAAAGGGTTAACTCCCATGAGTGACCAAGAGAGATTTCTCTTAATAATAATATACTAATACAATATCAAGCAGACAGTTGATAAGAATAAAGAAAAATATAAATCAGGGGATTATTAGTTGATCCAATACAAAATTTTTTGAATCAACACCATAAGGATTGTATGGCAGACAGAAAGGAGGATTACTGAGGAGATCTTGGAGAACACAACACAATGACCTTACACTATTGAGCCAGTTGAAGAAATTTCTGGTTACAAATCTTAAATTTTAATGATTGGTAAATAATCTTTTTTCAATACAGATTGCTGCAGTAAAGGAGGTTTTCCGTCTTCAAAAGGATGATGAATTGAAGGAGGCTGAGAAGAAATATCTGCCTGAGAAATAATAGAAAAATAAATCCTGGAGTGAGAAACAGATTGTAGCTAGTATGGTCCATGATTTTCAAATTGCACAACCAGATATGTCAAAATTCTACTTAATCACTCTTCTCAAGGGGCTTCCTGAGAGTTTCCAGTTGGTTTATATACTGCCAGGGAGCTTCCAGCCCCCAACCCCCTCCCCCTCACCCTGGAGAGGCGTGAAAGAAGGCTGGTAGGCTTAATAGCCAGCTGCCTTCATTTTTAGTCTGCTCTCCAGGCATTGTTTAGCTTTGGCTCAAAACATGTTCTTGATGGGGTATGGGGTCATGCGACCAGACAATGGTATGAACGCAGTCATTGGTGGATAAAAACTCTATGTCTGGAAACCATATGGATCTACTCACTGTTTATCATATTTCCATGACTTGATATTGATCTTGAAGGCCAGTAATAGTATCTTAATATATCTTTATGTGCTTAGAAACCAGCTGTTTTGAATTCTTTGAATGCCTCAATAAAGGGATGATTGAAATAGAGTTTGTACCCTGTAGTTTGTTTATTCAATTGCAATGTGGTTCATATTCTCTTCATCTTCTTTATAAATTTCACTTACTATAGACAAAACAACTTAACAGTGGGCCTTTTTCAAAACCACCTGCAGGAAGCCACTATAGCCTGCCCTTTCTCACAACAGGGAAGGGACTCTCGTGTAACAGTGATTTAAAGTGATCATGAAAATATTGGAAACCTATTTAGTGGGAGTGTCTTAAGTTTATTTTGACCTCTAAATGATTGTTAACTCTTCATGATGAAAGCAATTGCTTCAAGTCTTTTTTTCCTGGCTTAATACCCAATGGTCTATTGGCAGCTTTTGCCTGTTCTTGTCACTCAATGTGTTCTATCCTTCACCTGTTCTGACAAGACCAAGGAATAGTTGCAAAGGGGATCAACTTCATTCAGGCCCAGTCAGCACCGATAGATGATTTTATAAAAAAAAAAATTTTAAAAAAACTTTTATGCCATATTGGGTATCATTCATGGATAAAAATGCTGCCAAAAATTATGACTCCTCATTGCATTTCTGCTGAGTGATATAATATTATTAATCCTGGCAGAAAAGGGTTTTCATAGTCTCTGACTTGACAAAAGAGGTTCCAATAAGTAAAACAGACAAACTGTGTCATGACTGTACACTGCAGAGACAACATTTGTTTGGTAAAATTTCTTAGGTGATAGCTTATTGGAATATTATAAAGTTAAATTTGAGAAAAATTTTCAATTTATTAAGTAATTTTAAAGAGGGTAAGTTTTTAATGAAACTGTGGTGCCAGATGAGCAGGGGATATAACAGGATAATTTGGTTTTATCAACTGAGTTGATAATGTAAATTGGTCACAGTAAACAAGTTTCTTAAGCTGACATTTCAATTATGAACCCTTTGTCAGAGCAAGGATTCTTATAGTTCAGGAATAAATACACACAAAAAGCAACTGTTTCAAGCCTTCTTCCACTTCTTTTTGCAGAAGATGCTTCCAAAATATCCCAAAATCAAAACAGGGATAAACTAGTTTTGGTATTTTAAAAAAAATCAAAATAATTTATTTCAAAACTTCAAATATAACATAGTTAATGTCAGTGATAGCTCCTTTACATGGTTCAGTCCCTTTCCTTGAATTACAACTAGAGAGCCACTAACAATCTTAAGCTAACACTCTGATCTAAACTGATCAGAAATGTTAAGAAATGCTACAGAAATGTTAAATTGATAATCTGAGAATCTTAACCCTTTGACTCCCAAGATGATTGCCAATTCTCCCCTGTAACTGCTGCACATTTCCTTGTAAATAAGTTATGAGAATTTGGTGTTAGATCAAGATAACTTCTATCTGATAAATTTGAGTATTCCCATAACCTCTTTGCAGGATAATGTTTAGACATTACAGGGAGAAGTCACATTTTAATCTCTCCTGGGAGTTAAATAGTTAAGCTTCATAAAAAAAAATTTCAAGAGTAAATAAATGTGCAAGTTTGAAATCAATTGCAAGTTTTCTATATTCTGAAATCTTGTGTTTCCTGTTGTTCACCATTCACCTAAAGGGTGAGGCTAAAACATGTTGAAGAGTATTTTAAATTTTAAAATACTTGGGTTGACTTAAGAGATGTTGTTTACGATCAAAAAATGAGATTTTAGTCCTAAATTGATTCCTTCCCCAAGGATCCAACCTCTTTTCTTACAAAAAACTACCTTCTCCTCAGTCCTCTGTTTTAACCACAACACAGATGCTTATCTCTGAAAAGTTGATATCTCGAGATGTTCTATTGGAAGAATCATGTGTTTATTCCATATCCCCACCCCCTACCCCAGGTTTGTTTTCTTGACCACTCCTTCCCATCCCTCCCCATCAACTGTTGCTCAACAAATGGATGCACTTCAGCCAAAATCAATAAAAATCCAGAAATATCAAACCATCCTTGAACAAAAACCTCAAAATTTATTTCTAGATTTCATCCCTTCAGAGGAAAAGATTCCATAATTTCCTTTTATATGGGAGATTAAGCAAACTCTGCAAGAGACAGGGAGACTGATTCTGTCTCTGAGAGACTTCAGGATAATCTGGGAGCATTTGCAAATGTGCCAAAATGAACTTTGGAGCACCCTTGGTGGAATGGTGAACATCACTCACACTTCATGCAGATGTCTCAGTAAAATCTTTGCCTACCAATTCAAATTAAGTTTACAACATACACACACTGACAAACAAGTTTAATAGGACTCAGAAATTTTAATGCTATAGTATCACAAGAATAATTTAATTTAAATTTGAAAATTTAGAACAGCTGCAAACCCAACGAACGAAGAAAATTTAAGCGTATAGGAATAAAAGGGATATGTGAATAAATCTAGGGCATCTGACAAAATTAGACCAGGAATGAAAAAAAATAATGAGAATACAAAAAATATTTTGCTCTCTGGGATAATACTATTTCCCTTCTACTGTAAATGTTTACTTTAGTTTTTCGCTTTAAGGCGGCTGTTCAATGATTACAAGCTGTATTAAGCCTTTACTTCAGATTACACTTACTAGCTGAAATTATTTACAATCTAACATTAAAATGTAATCTGTGGTTCCCTCCATTCATCCATTAACTTGTTGCTTTATCAAGCCCCATGTATCTGTTTCATTACATATCCATATTGAAGATATTTAAACCATATAAAAACAAATAATTATGTAACGAAATCTGGAAAAGAGAAACAAAAGCAGAAAAGGTTAGTAAATCAAGATCAAAGGAAATGATCAAGCCCCAGTATTTTGTGGGAGAGGGAGTGACAGAAAAAAAAGCTGTGCATTTTCATGCTGACAAACAGGATTAGAATATCATGGCAACCTTACAAGATTGGAGCTAACCATCCACAGCTGGGTTTCTTACATATGACCCAGTCTCTCAGAGTACCAATGAACAAGTGTACCATTGCGAGTGCCATGGAAATCAGGGAGTTAGTTGGGACAATCAGGGGTTAAAGGTCATGTGTAAATGCAAATATTCTCTAGCTGAACATCACATCAGCTTGGAATCTTACCTATTAAGTATATATGGAAATAAGTACTATACCAACGATTACCGCCAGTAAAACAAACAAACAGATGACTATCATGATCTTTTTCTGTTGGAAAACAAAAGTATTTGACAGTTATTATACATAATGACTTAACCCCTTAATTCCCCAAGATCAGATTGTTAATTCTCTCCTCTAGCTGCTTCACATTTCCTTGTACATAAAATAAAATAATTTGATGTTAGATCAAGGTATAAACTATCTAGTATGTTTTAGTAATCTCATTACCTGTTTGCTGGACAATGTAGGAATATTATAGGGAGAATATACATCTTAATCACTTCTGGGAGTTAAAGACCAACAGCTGATTATCTTTAATGTACCACAAAAAAATATGTGCCATAATTGAACAATTGACCAACAATGATTACAGCAATTCTCAACTGGATGTCAAAAGTGAGGCAGGCTTGTATTGGTGTTACTTTCCTTTACTTTGTGATTGGTTCAGAAAACTCACATCACCCTCTCAATCAGTCTATTTTAAAGCTTAAACTAATTGATATTTGATCACTTGAATTTTCCAGCGCTTCACATGATTTGCAAGTTTTTACAGAGCATTCTCATTTTCTCCATGTGACCTCTTCTTATTTTGAGACTGGTCTCTCTAATGACTTTGGTGTTGAGGTTTATGATACTGAAATGAAATGTGTTCTATGCTGAAAAAAAAAATCAATGATGAGGCTGGAAAACTGTGTGTTTTGAAGAAAACTTTGTTCAGACACTCTTGCTTCTGATGAAAGAAGAAGACAGGCTAGAGAATCTATACCCAGATTGCTAACAACTCCTGATCTGATGTTACATTCACTGTGTAGGAGACAAAACTAAAGGTAAAACTACAAATAATACCCACCCGCCTTGCTTTACTTTGATACTTGACAGCTTTTTTGGTGTCACTTTTGGCTGATTGAACAAAGTCAACAGCTTGGTCCACATTGTACTCAATTCTGTCAATCATCTCCCCCTATCAAGGAAATGGTATCACAGCATGATACAGGCAAATAAATGCACTACAATGGAAGGGTGCATCTTAAGCAAGAAGCTGTAGGACAACCCTTTGAACCACTCTATGCTGATACGTAACCCTTGACACCCTAACATCAGTATGCATATTCTCCATACTGTTCTCCATACATTTCAAAAGAGGCTGACAAGGAGAATTTGTTTAACAATCACAAGCTTGTTAATTTGGTGATCATTCTCTTCACTCTCATGACCTTAATGAGTAATTCAGGGGTGATATTGTAAGAGGAAAATGGATGTTAATCACTCTTAGGGATCAAAGAGTTAGTAGCAATCACACTCATTTTCTCTTTTAACCCTTTCACTGCCTAGATCCCATTTGAATTTTATCTACTAAGCAGTTCTTCTTTCTGTCTGCCATACAATTGGAGAATTTGGTATTGGATCAACTTATAATTTCCTGATTAATCTCTCTCTTTATTCTCAAAACTCGTCTACTTAATACTGGATTGATACTGTAATGAGAAATTCTGTCTTGGTCACCCGAGGGAGTTAAAGGGTTAACATCAATAAATACTTGATTGGTCACTGATGCAACAAGGTGTGAACGTTAGCATGCAAGGCTACAAACAAGAAAGTCTTAATTGGAGACCTAGCCTAATATTACACTGTGTTTGTGAACAAGAGGCTTTGCTCTCACAGTGCAATTCTCCTTCCAGAAGCACACACAGGTACCAACAAACTGTTGAAGACACCTGCTTAGAACTAACCTTGTGCTGAACTGACATCCCATACTCCTAAAGGGAGTAATTTTCTAAAGAAACTGTCAGTGGTGCTGCACTGGTGGGAGAGTATAACATGGTAATTTAGTATAATCAAGTGAGTTGATAATGTAAATTGGCCACCGTTAAGAGTTCAAAGCTGACATTTTGAGCGTTAGCCCTTTGGCAGCCCTCCCATTTGCTCTGATAAAGGGCTAACACTTAAAACCTCACCTTTGGAACTCTTTGCAGTGGCCAATTTATGTTATCAACTCAGTTGATAATACTAAATTACCCCAGCAATACTCCTAGTTGCTTTCTCTCACTGAATTAGAAAAAAAACTGTGTTCAAAATAGCCTTCTGGCTCATGAGCTGACTTAACCTTTCTTAACAATTTGATCATGTCAGCTGTTGTTGAGCTTGCAACCCACCTGGTTTTCAACCAACATGGCCATGTCAACAAACATTTCATGAAGTTCCTTGAAAGAAAAACAAATAATATAATTATTTCACAATTCAGTGGTATAAACATAAAGTTCAAAACAAACAAGTGTTAATCATACTGCATGAAGTGCTCTGATGATGTTGATGATCTTGAGTGCAACAATGATGATGATGATGATATCAACCAACAAATCTACATATATGTGTATCAGCCTCCACAGTCACTGGTTTGAAGGTGTTTTTCACAAAGCCATTTAACCTTTTTCTTTTCTTGATCTTAATGTTTGTTTCATCAGTGATAGCAAAAGGAAAAATCAGTTGCCAGTTACCCTCAGGGTTTAAAGGATTAAAGTACCTGAATACTTTTTTCTAAGTTGATAATATCTCTGTGCCTAGCTTCTATATCTCCCAAGGCTTGTCTTGCTTGTTGAGTCTCTATCACAATCTATATAAGAACAGAAAAAAATGCTTATTTGTGACTGTAAGTTATTGTAACATTTGGAGAGCATTTTGGTTGAGTGTCCTGACACCAAAACCAATGAAAGTATTCAAAGGAAAATGTCACAAAGGGCCAATGAGAACTCTAAGAAAAAACAAGCCAATTGCATAAAGTGCTGGGAAAATGTGAGTGGCCAAGCCTTAAACTTTGAAACCCTTACATTAGAATGTATATTCTCCATACTGCTTTCCATATATGCCTTAAGGTGCTGACAAGGAGAATTGGTTTAACAATAAAGAGATTCTTAAAATGACCATCATTTTCTTTATTCTCTTGGCCTAAATGTGTGATTCAAGGGTGATAATGTAAGGAGAAATTAGATGCTGGTCACTCTTGGGGATCAATGGGTTAAAGTTTTGATTACTTCTGATGCACAATTGAAAATTGATAAAAGACTGTAATAAATCATTTTTGGGGAAACTTTATTTTACAGTAATTGCTGTGACAAAGATACAATTAAAGCTCAGCATTCTTCAAACTTACATCTGAAGTAAAGATCGCTGGATCTCCACCCTCCAACATTTCCTCTACTTCCTCGTATGTCTTTGTTTTACCAGCTAATCATCAGAGTAAAAAAATACTGATATCAGTTTACAATTAAAACAGATTTCATATAAATGCTTCAAAATCTCAAAGCTTTTGATAACAGCTGACAGTATGTTTGAACCTAAGCGAGGAAAAATGGGCTCTTGTACCCAAAATCAGGGCCCACTGGGAAAACTTTCCAAGAGGAAAACTGCGAAGTGATATTCTAGTCTTATTTAAATATCCAAGAACAACTGAAAACAAGGGAAGAGACCTGACAAATATTTTCAATTTTTCTGACATGTCAAGTTACACATACAAAGAAGATTTGAGTAGTGATAGTAGTTGATTTTTTTTTAACGGATATTTCAAGCCAATCCAAATATAATGATTACCAATATGTACTTAAGTTTGTGTGTGTGGTATGGAAAAAAAAGAGAGGTCAATATTTAATAAATTATATTTTGATATTTATTTTCCCAGGGAACTCAATTACAAGGATTGAGGCCAACTTGCAAAATGCACAAAAAAGTCTGCAAAAGTTAAAATTTTGCATCTTGAACAATTTAGGTTTCCTTTGAGGATTCAAGATTCTATGGCAACAAGTCATAGCAAATTAAAAGCTATTAACTCATCATATCATATCAACTCACTTATTTCCAACTGCCGCTGGATCCTAGCTTTGCACTTCTCTCTGTAGTCAGACTGGGTTGTGTTATAGTCACTCATCACTTCTACAAATTTCCTTGCTAATGTAGAATGCTAAAAAAAAGAAAAAGAAAAAGAAATACTCACTTCAATAAGTATAATGGATTTGAATGCAAATGAAGCAATGAACATAAGAACTTGAAAGAATTTTCAACCAGAGTTGCCATTTTCTCCTCTGTAATTCTGTATGTTAAAATCTCCTTATCATTACCACTTTGGTGAGCACTTTGGCACATTTTCGGGCCAAGATGGAGAATTTGGCCAGCTAAAATATATTTTAGGTCAGTGAAATTTTAAGCCACTCAAACTGTAAATGCTTATGGGATTGTTAAGATTGCTTTGGTGTCACTTTTTCAGTTTTTTTTTTTTTTTTAGTCTTTTTAGTTCACTCCAAGGTGATAATAGTAGCAATGCAGTTTATATTCAGGGGTGTATATATATAACACATATATGTTTTGGACCCTTCTCAAGGTCAGTCTAACTTTTACCTAGCAACTTGGAATTAAGTGATTCTGGCCCAAAATATATTTATTCCCATGAACATAAACTATTATTATTGTTTTATTACTGTTAATGAATAAGTCTAAAGGTAATATGAATTCTGGAAAGACTTATTAAATACAGAGCACAATATCAATATATAATGAGATTTATTAACCTGGCATCTTCGTATCCTGGCCTCAGCATAGTTATTATAAGCTGCATCCTGGTCTTGTTGGTTTATACTATGTTCCATTTCTTAACCAAAACACAAAAACACTTAATGAGTGATGATAAATAATGCAAGTAGTAACCAGGAAAAAAAAAAGTCTAATTATGATAATAATTGTTTCCTTATGACACTTATTTCTAAAATTGTACAGGAAATTCTTGCAATTGTATGTCACATTCTCCATTCCTGAACTAATTTTACTTGAACCCTGTCAGTACATCTTGAATCTTAAAGGTTAGAAGTCCTAAAGAACATGTTGTGTTATGTCAGCAGGCAAGTGTAACTATAGGTTGGTTATTGACTGTAATTTGATAATTGTAGTTAGGTCACTTTAACAAATTTTGAAAAGGTGATGTTTGAGCACAAGCCCTTCCTCTGGTGACAAAGGGGAATAGAGGAGACATGTGTGTTCATGTATAAGGAAGAATGAAGTTATGCTTTTGATATTAACTTGGCAAAGTATGTTATCATGTTTCCCTCAACGGCATGGCTCTAATCTCTGTTGCATTGATGGATAGATACAGCAATAGATCAATAGATGGATTTTATTTTGCCAGAAAATATTTACAACATTCAGAAATTACTAAAATGTAATTATTTTTTCCTAGCAAGGGAACTAGTTTGGAAACCATGGGGCTTATGACTATGAGATTACTCCCTTAACTTTTGCACCCCTAAGAGTGACTAACATCTAATTTCTCCCTGCAGCAACTCCCTTAAATCAAACATTAAGGTCATGAGAATAAAGGAAATGATCACCAATTGAAGAAGCTGTTGATTTCTGAACAAATTCTCCTTATCAGAACCTGTGGAAATGTCTAAGGAGAGGTAAGGAGAATATGCATACTGATGATAGGGAGTAAAGGGTTAACTAAAAATCATGAGTGGGGCATTATCAATGGAACATAGTCAAGATAAAAAAGAAAAAAAAATAGAAATAAATAATAATTTAAAAAATAAACAAAAATACTCATACACAGACTCAAAACGTACACAAGTGGTCTTAAATCTCACCCGACAGTCACATAGACTGGGTAGGAAGGTGTAAAAATCAGGGAAGGAGGAGAATGTCTTGTGGTGGACAATATCCACATTCTTATCCTCTTTAGGAATAATTATTTACAACTTTGCCACCTTAATCACAATCCTAACACCAAAGAAGTGCAACTGAAACTTTACCTTTCAATTTCATTCTCACTAGATTACTAGTCTTCTTGACATCTAACATCAGTCTTTCAAGTTCCTCTTTTACCTCTAAAATGCAAGATAAAAAGATAAGTTAGTGTTTACAAATCCATTAATTATGTGCTAGGGGTTTTTTCACATTTAACATTTCTCAACCTGTCAGAATTATCTAGTTTAAAATATTTTGGAACTTTAATTCATTTTTCATTATTTGTTAGTTTAAACATGCATGTGGAATAAGTTTTATTAAGTTGGTCTAAAACAGTGTTAAAAGAGTTAATAATTTTAACTGTTTCACTCCTGAGTACTGAATACCATTTGCCAGACATATCTAGTAATTTTAGCTCCAAGAGTTGGTTATTGAACCCTACAGCATCCCCTATTTGACATTTTCTCTGTCTTCTCATCACTGAGTTTTTTTTTTTCTAAAAATTGCATTCAAATTGTCAGGAAAATTCCCTTTTGGTCACTCCTTGGAGAAAAGGGTTAAATAAAATCTAGGTAATTTTCACAATACCCAACATCATTTTAACCCATCACACCCCAACATCACTATATATATTCTCCATACTATATACATTTCCTAGGGTGCTTACAAGGGGAATTTGTCTCACAATCAAGAGCTTTGTGAGGTTGTTTTCATTTCCTTTACTCTCATCAACTTCAAGTTTAATTCAGGGGTGATATTGTTGGGAGAAATAAGACTTTTATCACTCTCATGGTGTAAAAGATTGACAGCACAAAAATAGGAACTACTCTTGCATCCTTATTCCTGAGCCTTTAGCCCCTAAGAATCTAATTTCGCCTTATTGACAGTAACACTGCTGAATCATTCATAATGAGCATCAGAGTAAAGGAAATGGTCACCAGCCCGTGAAGTTTGATCGTTGAACAAATTCTCCTTGTCAATACCAAAGGAAATGTATAGAGAGAAGTAGAGAGAATATTGATGTTGATGTAAGGGGGTAAAGGGTTAAAAGCAGAACAAAATAGTGCAATAAACATCATCATCTGGTGGTGGGTATTCTGTATTTGCTCCGAAAAACAACAATTGACTAATATTTCATCAGGTTTCAACAACAGAGATTTTCAAGAAAGGTACACAGAACTAAAAATAGTTTTAAAATGCTAACACGGCAATTTTGATGATACTGTCTTTTGACTGTCAGATGATACTTTGAGAGCAACTTTCTCGGACATATGAAGGTTCAATCCAACAATACTTGTTAAAACAAATGTTTTTCAATTGAATAGCAAATGGCATACATTAATTACAAAGTAGACAAAACTACATTTTTCTGAATATTCATAAGTACAGGTACACCCTTGAGTTCTGACCATAGATTAAAGTACAAACATGACGGTCTGTATTACCATACTATTAATAACATACCATATAAATAGGAAACTTCCTGTTACAACTTTCAACATGCCATTGTACTGAGATAAACTTAATATTTGATCTTATTCTACATAACATGAATTGCACGGTCTCTCAATATATATAGGCTGTATTATCTTACTGAATAAAAAGTCGAATGACTTCCCATTTATACACATGTTCGTGGATTAGCAATGATAAGTTGACTACATGTTTTTTTTTTAGATACCTTGATCTTGTACTGCAGCAGACAGCATAGCACTGTGCATTTTTTTGACTTGTTCCACATCTTGTGCCATTTTATCGATATTCGTTCGTACTGTAGTAACCTTCAAGAGAAAGAATAAGATGATTTAAAGCGAGAGAGCAATACCAACAATTCTTCTAAGCAAACCTTGAAAGTGCAAGCTAAATCTTAGACATTAGTCGAGTAAAACTTACGTTTTGGAAAAAATTATCCATAAAAGTATTTTCCACATTAACAATTGTCGAAGGCTCATCGTCATCTTGCGGATCCTCATCGTCAGCATTTCCCTGTGAAAAACACAGTGTTGATAGTATAAATTGATCAAATCTCCAATATGTTACGATCGCTAAATCGATGAATTGAATCGAAAGACGCTTGCACTCTGCCTGAAATAACTAAAAGAAACAGACTTATTTGAAAATTTCCGGCTCTTTGGGACTAGAATATAGACTCACAGTGTTTTTTAACGCCTGTAGTCTGTCCCTCATTTTGAAAACTCGTGTAAATACAAAGTAAATCTAGTACAAACTCCACAACCACCTCCCCAAGATTGACTGCGGGCTTACTTTTGTCAGCAGTCTGTCTAGATGATTTAAAAAAAAAATAGATTTCGCGCAGGGGAGGGGACGGTTAACACGGCACGGTGTCGAGGCTCAAGTCTTAATTTTCTCTCCAATGAGAAACTGAGTGAGCAGATGAAAGCATGAAACGTAAAAGAAAAAAAGCTATTTCAGATACAAACGCCTTTGTCCTAATATTATCCAAGGTCAAATCGTTCATAATAACAGTTTTGAAATAACCTTTTATCTGTACGTGGGTGCATATTTCAACATAGTCCCTTTCATGAACATATGATATTAGTACAAATATATTTATATCATGTCGTTAATAAATTTTTTTTTGATCTTCAATCCGTGGAGTTGAGAGATGAAACAAAAACTTGCCTTCTCTCGGGAAAAGATTACACGTGAGCACAAAACAGCATTGATTTCTCTATATAGCAAAGTAAAAAAAAAAAACAGCTCCTCAGGATAACGTTCATATTTGGGATACTTGTCATAACCTATTAAAAAAAGGCGGGCTTGATGTGTACGGTTATTTCCATGTGTAGCATTCATTCAGCCACTTCACCGGTTAAACCCTTTTTCTGGAAACGATATGTCGATGATGTTATTTCTGTGGTGTCCGGAAATGAAGCGGAGTGCCTCCTGTTGCATTTGAATTCAGTAGAACCGTCGATCCAATCACCCTTGAGCGTGAAAAGGATAGACATTTGCCCTTTCTTGATTTAAATGTGTCCAGAGGGGTTCAGGGTAATTTAGAGACAAGTGTCTACTGTAAACCTACCCACAACGACAAATACCTCGCTTTCGATTCTCACCATCCTATTTTCCATAAAAAGTCTGTAGCCACAACTTTACTTAGGAGGGCTGACTGTCTACCATCTTCACTCGATTCGAAGGCTGAGGAGAGGAAATATGTTTCTAATGTCCTAAAGGCAAATGGTTATACAAAAACCTTTCTCCGTAACTGCCAAAAACCAGTTACAACTAGTAACGCTCTTGATGAAAGGGAACCAGCGACTGGTTTTGCTGTTATTCCTTACATTCAGGGTGTTACAGAACCCATCAAGAGAATTTTGAATAGCCACAACGTTAAAGTTGCTTAAAAACCTTTTCGGACTTTGGGGCATATTTTCGCCAAACCTAAGGATTCTGTCACGAAAGAACAACGAACCGACGTCATTCATTCTATTCCTTGCAATGACTGTGATAACGAATACATCGGACAGACCAAACGTCAGTTTGGTACACGTTTAAAAGAGCATCAAAAGCGGTTTTCTTTTGCAAAAAGGAAAATTCAGCCTTATCGGAGCACACATGCCCAACTAACCATACAATTGGGTGGGATAATTCTAAAATTATCACCACTAATCGGCGTTACCACCAGCGCCTTTGTTTGGAGGCTTGGCATATCAACTCCGCCCACGCTCCTCTAAATCGTGACGATGGTGGTTTTCTTCCTGACGCCTATTTACACCTCGTCAGAAAAAAGGCCGCTAATTAGTGATCATACAAAAGGACCTCTTGTTGGAGCGCTTAGATCACCCCTGATGAAGGCACTAGACAGGAGTGTCGAAACGTTGGGTCTATGAATTGTAACTTCTTCGTTTACATTCATTAAATCTGTAAACCAGAGTAGCATCAAATCATGTCTGATTGTCCACCTGGTTGCCGTGTGAACCTTAATATATATATGACTAATTACCAGCCCTCAGGGGTCCAAGTATAAGCTTTGATAACAAGAGCGTTTTAGTATTTCGTTCAAGGCAAAGACCAGTGCCGGTGTGTTTATGGATTCCCCCCCTCCCCACCCCTAGATTCGGACCCTCGGCCCATTTCCAGTCCAAATCCTATGGGGTCCAGATCTGGCATCGCAAAAACTTAACGCTAACTTTGCTTACATCTCCTTTGATCCTTAGATTATCACTCCGGGAAATTTGGAGAAAACATCATGTCCACTGATAATTCAATTATTTTCACTTTGCGAAAAATGGTTTTAACTAGGGAGTAACATTTGATCAAGCAGTCTGATTGTTAAAGTTAGAGTAGTCCTGGGAACGACTGTTGTTGATGTTTAGACAATTTTATGCACAGACAAATTTTGCATAAGCCATTTTCAGAGTCGATCCTCCCGCTAAGGTCGTCGAAAAGAGTTTAAGTTAGGCATTACTTACGACGATAGTTCTTCTCTTCGTTACTTAAACCCGGACGATCAGACTACACGATCAGATATTTTCACCATGCAAACGACCGAAAGCAGACAATAATTTCTTGATCTTTGCCGTTTGCCGTGGACGGCGAGCTTAATCTTGGTACCATAAAATATGATAAGGATCTTATTAATGTGTTTGCATTTCTCGAGGGGACTAATTGGGAGATCTAATCCATAATGAATCTACAGGACTTAAAGCAATTAAAACGAATAGAAACGTCTACAAAATAATAATTGTAATAAAAAATGCATAAAAATTTCGATGAATTTGAAAATTATCAAACGAAAGAAGCTTAATGAACACGAAACAGTATACGACATTTTTGTTCAATTTCTCGCCCCGTCTAGAAAAAAAAGTCCAACTTAGAATCTTCGCGCCTTTTGAACAGAAGTTTGCAAAAATATGAATGGCTATTTGCTAAGGCAAGGAGTCGATCACAGCCGCTTAATAGAGTTCGCATTTGACGGCAGATGTTTTTTGTAGCGATTAGCCAGCAATTATTTTTCCGAGACTCTTCAAAACGCATTGAACCACAAAACCAAAAAACATTCCCAACCACTAATTGCTTCATCAGAACGGCTGATCTCTGCGTGTCATAAGCAAAGTACAAACGACTCGTTCAAAGTTTTCCTTTGATTAATCCTTTACCTTTATAGCTTTGTAAAGTGGAGTATTTTTGTTACAAATTTAGCCGGCGCACACCCCTCTCTATGATTATTACACCACACGTTTCCTGTTTTAGATTCTCTCAGGCCTGCTGCCCGAAATGCAAGGGCTGACAGGAGACTGGGTTAAAGCGACACTTGGTGACTGGTTTTGACCGGTTAGAAGTGAGACCACGAGTGTTTCAGAAGGAAATTTTTTCAAGCTGTTGGGTGAAGAGGTCTTCTAAAGGTTCAGATTATCTGGAAAAATGGCACAGCAAAAGCCTGAACCAGTAGCCAAGTTCAAAGTAGGTTTTCTCTTCATTTCAGTGTTTCAACTCAAATTTGGTATTTCTGTGCAATGTCTTGAGTTTTGTACACGAGGGTACCTCTACATAATTTGGTAGTACTGAACATTCGTATTTTATATTTCTGTTTAGCTCGTTCTTGTCGGCGATGGTGGTACTGGAAAGACAACCTTTGTCAAACGTCACTTGACTGGAGAATTTGAAAAAAAATATGTGGGTGAGTAACCTACGTGATCATAACTTCATTTCGCAATTTTCATCGTATCAGGGACACCGTTTGCCTAAATTTAACCCAAAACCACGTTGCTACAGATATCTCATTCATTTTACGTTAAGGAGTATTAACTGCAAACCTATCAGTACAATTTGATACTATATTTTTTTCTGCTTAAGCTAGGAATTTAGTCTTGAATTAGTTCCTAAACATCACACACGTAAAATATTTGAACTGTTAAGAGTTCGCGCGCTTTTTTTGATTAATTCTGCAAATCAATTACGCACGCTTTCCATTAACTTTCCAATTTGGAAGCGGTAAAAAGCTACTCTGAGTACAAACACAAGGGGCATTTTCCCCGGAAGACATTTTTTGAAGTTTATGTGCTTCTTAAAGTATGAAAATTAAACAGAATTTTGCCCAAGCCTGAGAGATTAAGGAAAAAAAACATATTTTAGTATTTGCCTAAATTATGCTAAATTATTTTTGGATAAAGGCTCTGCTGGACACAGCACAATTTCAAGATGACTGCCCATGTGTTGCCAGTGTTACCATGGAAGTGATTACCGCGATAACGAAAATTCAATTCTGCAGAGAACCAATGGTGCTATGAACTTTGGAGTAACACTTTTTGAAAGAAAGATATGAAGTTGTTGCTGATTGAATTAAATGTACCTATCAAATTATAGCAGAAACTGGCTCCTTATCTGGATGCAGATAATCAAGACAATTAAAACAGAATGGTTTCTACATCAGAACAATTATATATGACAGAATTCGAAAGCACCTAAGCTATTATCATAAATTTGTCTCTGGGATTATTCAACAATGTTCACTTTTCCTTCAGCAAATAATTGTTTAATATACTATACAGGTGAATAGTACCTTTGCACGCACTGATTGGCTAGTTTGAAAGGGATTAGCAAGTACTATTCACCTCCCAGCAGCAGAATAGACAAAATCGTGGCAAGAGTTTCATTTCTGATCATTTTTTTGGCAGAAATGAATATTTTAGTAAAGGGTATGTGCTAAAACAATAATTTACCTTACTGTCGATGAAAGTGGTGGATATGTAACTCCAATTTGCAGTTTGGTAAATATCCACCATTTATCACCTCCACCTTGGCAAGTAACTGTTAATTATTAATGCAGGAATGTTCATGATTTCCTTGTAAAATTATTCATGTGTGGGTATCATTGGAATGTTTGGTAGCTCATTGGTAAATGTTCCACTGAAATGGGACTTAATAATCCTTCTTCAGTGGAAGTCGAAGGTATGGTGCAAGCTGACGGTAAAGGAAGAATTTTTTTTTGACAGGGACATGTTGTAAATAAGTTAGAATTTTTTCAGAAGCTGCCACAAGTGGAAGTTTATTACATTGCATTTCATTCTGAAAACAGCTTTGACCTAAATGCAAATGCCATAGGGGATCTGAATTGATAAAATTTATATATTTTTAAAAAATGTCTAATGGTTGATTGAAAAATTCTAGTGCAACTTTCCTTTGACCTGAGGAATCATTTTGTGATAACCTATTAACAATGATGTCCATGGCAGCTTGAAAGTGAATTAAAACAAAAATGGGGGGGTTTGAGGGGTTAATTGTTCTCACAGTTAGTTTGTTTCTGTATCCAGCAACACTAGGAGTTGAGGTACATCCACTGGTGTTCTACACAAACCGAGGAGCTATCCAGTTTAATTGCTGGGATACTGCTGGTCAAGAAAAGTTCGGTGGTCTCCGTGACGGCTATTATATCCAGGGCCAGTGTGCAATCATCATGTTTGACGTTACATCACGAGTAACATACAAGAATGTGCCAAGCTGGCACAGAGATCTTGTTAGAGTGTGTGAAAACATCCCTATTGTGCTTTGTGGAAACAAAGTTGACATAAAAGATCGTAAAGTCAAGGCCAAGTCTATAACATTTCACAGAAAGAAGAACTTACAGGTACTGTTACCTGCAAACTTTCTAAGAAATAAACATATTTTAAGAAACAAGGAAAGCAAAAAGAGTAGCATTTTGTCTTAAAAAAAATGTTATAAGTTTGTTTTCAGTTCAATCCAAAAAGCAGAAAAGAATGCTCAATTTACAATTTTTTAATCCTTTGAAATACCTGCAAAGCATGGTTACCTTAATGTGCAACTGATCAAACATAGGAAACAAGCATTGCAAGCATTTTCCAAGCAAAATTAGTCTAGGAAGAAAATGAAAAGGGCCAACCATTAGTCTTGGCCAGCATTATTTCTAGTCCATTTGGCAAAAACAGAGATTTATAGAATATATATCTCCTCATGTGAGACCAAACTAAAGTTATTATGGAGTAAAAGTCCTTGTATTCTTCCAGCCATGCTCAGTAGGGTGAAGTCAGTAGTTTGAAATGACCTCTGCCCTACATTAAATCGAACTGAGAAAAAATTGTGGGGGACCTAAATAGCATGATTCTTATTTAACAGTTCAATTGAGCCTAAAGGCTTTTCTGAACGATATCACCATGTTACACAGATAATATACTATCATTTAAAATCTGCGAACTCTTAAAGCAGGATTTTGTGATTAAGAGTCTTACACCAGTCTGTGTAGAATGCTTTGTCAGCAATATTATCTTATCTTTATTTCCTTACAGTACTATGATATAAGCGCCAAGAGTAACTACAACTTTGAGAAGCCATTCTTGTGGTTAGCACGAAAACTTGTAGGTGATCCAAATCTAGAGTTTGTGGAGATGCCTGCTCTTGAACCACCAGAGGTCCAAGTTGATGTAACACTAATGCAACACTACGAGCAGGAGCTTGCTGATGCCCAACAAACAGCTCTCCCAGAAGATGATGATAATGATATATAATCTGAATATTCTTCTGGGAATGTGTGCTTTTTTGTCTTTCCTCTTGACTTCAAATCAACATCAGCCTCAGATGACATGATGTAATTCCTTTTTTTGTAAATTCTGCAATTTTTGTTGACTAGATTTAGGGTAAAATCAGGGAGATGGAAGTATGTAACACCTTATAAGATATATCAAAAAATTTGAAATGCCCCCAAGTTCATTTCATAGGTAAGTATATAAGGTTATAGCTTAAGTTTGCCAATTCAGCTGAGATATATACAAAAGGCTACTTGCAGAGCAGAAGCTCTAGTTTTGAAAACATTTCAAAATACCCTCCTTTAGATCTTTAAGTCAATTTGTAACTGTGGGTGTTTTAATTATGTAGTACTCGTGAGAAACAAATCTTCACTATGTGTACTCTTTTGCATGTGGATAATTAGTTAGCAAAGAAGCATGGAGAAAAATTTATGGAAAGTGGCCTGCTGCAGATAACTCACCGGTTACATTAAACAGAAATTATTTATATAACTTTGTTAAAATATCTCAAGAAACTTTTTTATCTTGTGTTGCTGCAACAGTTATATGAAGACATGTCTAGATAACTCACAGCTGTTAACAGGGAAAGTTCAGAGAAAGATGTAACTATGACACAGTCACCCCTAAAAGCTCCTAAAGCATGAAGAATAAATTTGCTAATCTTTTGTTTGTAACACTCTTATTTATGTCTGAGCAAAAATAACATCAGATCAAACTTTGCTGTTGGGGAGAGTGATTGAAATTGGGGTGCAGACAGTTCACTGATGTCTTTTAGTCTAGGTGAAGTGTCTTCCATTGCATTGGTGGGTTGGGAAATTGTGGTCCTCTTCGAAACTCTGCTTTTTTTTTTTTTTTTTTTTTTAAAAAAACCTCACTCACCAAAGAATAAAGAAAACCAAAGAAAACCTTGAGTTGATGAACTTTGCAAAGTTTCTGGCTCCCTGCCAAACAAATTTAAATATTAGCTATTGCAGTTTAAACTTTGCAAGATAGACCCAAACTTGGAGTTGAAGTTTCCTTACCAATTTATTTTACATGAAAATGTATTCAGAGGATGCCCTATCCACCACACTCACAATTCACTGTTACAAGCACTACTGGAGGACATTGGAACCAAGTGAATGTTACATGTTGTGCATTTTCAAGTTGTCGACTTTGAAAGACAAGAATTGGAGCATTGAATACAGTGAAAATGATGAAAAAAAAAAGGCCTGCATTGAAAAACAATCTGTTACAAATTATGAAAGGAAGGGAGCTTAAAGAAGCCTCTGGTTCACTCCTTCCTTCCTTCTCACTGGTAGGAGGTAAATAGTGAGAATAGCACTGATTTCTAAAGTATCTCCAATGATTTCTAGGCCAACGAAAATGATTTGAAATTACGGCATGTTCACTGTTTTACATACACACTTGCAAAGCTAGGTTGCCACATCCCTAGAAGAAGCATTATCTTTTGTTTTTACTAGGCTCTTGTTTCTGCAAGTAGCGTTTGTAATCTTGAAAAGTCAACAGATCTGCTTCTACACCAGTGTTACTTTTCTTTTCAAGAAACAGTCCAAGTGATTCCCTGTGCAGGAGAGAGATGCTACGGTTCCAATAAGGTTCCTCTATTCCTAACGCTTCTCGAACTTTTTTTGCTATTACCTGAGAAAAGAAAGAAGTCTAAAAATTCTGGATTCAGTTTGTCTTAAAGTTAGCAGATCAGGATGGGTTAGCACAAAACTCAGGTAAGACTGTAAACTTTTCATCGATAGAACAATTGAACCGGAACTGGTGCGAATGTAATGTCAAATAACACAGTCCAGGTTGTTGCATGTTCTTGGGAAAAATCGCATGTTGAAGCGTTACATTTCATGTTCACGCCAAAACGTGGTTTTACTGATGGAAGCATTTGCAGCTGTAAGATGCTACACTATGCATACGCTACACGCTGATTTCCGTTTAAATTCAGAATTAAAGGAATAGGGTGACTTGTCGTTAGATTAACCTTTTTCGCAGTCAACAGAACACCTGAAAACAGGTAACATGTTCGACAAGCCAGATTGATAGACGAAAAAAAAAAGGATTTTCTCTTGGAGATACTTTGTACACAAACCTTTATATGTTCAAAGTCTGTGACACCCATCCTTGGTAAAGATGAAGCATCGACAGTTATAAGTTTCCTTCCATTTATGAGGTTTTCTCTGAAACAGGCCTGTGGACAATCGATGAAACAACTTCAATTCCTAATGTGATTAACACTAACATTTTAAGCACTCGACTGCAATTTTTGTCTCACCCGATACTGTGGGAACCCTAAAAATTCCACCCAGTCGGCGACATCTTCGATTTTCCAGCCTAGACAGGTAGGAGTGCCATCGGAGTCAAAAGTCGGTTCATATCCATTGTCAAACTTTGTAGGTGTCTTTCGAGAACTTTTGATCAGTCCGTCCGCCATCTTTGTTTACCGTGGTAACAAACCGCAATCCCATAGGTCTCCACGATGGAAACCATGCTACTCAGGAGGGGTCGGAGGGGTGGCAGCTGTCGTTCTGCGGCACTTTAAAAATGGTTGAATTCCTGCTTTTTGGTCAATAAGAAGAAACGGGGCAAATTTTATTATTCCAGAAAACAAAAGCAGATAATTTAAATCACATCCAACTAAAAAGCAACTTCCGTGTGGTAAAGGCAAAAAGAAGTTTCTTCAGCAACGTTTTTAGTTGTCTGCGAGATTACTTTGTCCTCTAATGCAAAAATTATTTTGCGAGTCTATTGCTTAACACAATTATTTTATGGGAACCATAATTCTCATAAATCTTTTTTCAAATAAAGATGCCAGTACTGCTGTTAAACCATCTGTTATGCCCCATCGCTCGTTGATTGTCATCACAGGAGCCAATCAGAACGCAGAACAATAATATTGATTCTCAGGTCTTTTCTGAGAATATCCTCGTTAATGTGAAAAAAAAAGTAAAAAGACAAAATCCTTCATGTACCTAAACCTTAGCAGATTAAAAAAAAGGCCAACCTAGTGCTTGAAGAATGAACAAAGACAAAAACAACAATAACTTTCTGAGCAGTGACCTAAGAAAGTAATGGAAACCTTGGTAAACTTGCTACCCAAGCAGCCAATAAACGGTCAGTTTCAGATCATGTGGTTGGTGTATCAAGTGACCCGGGCTGTTATAAAAGTTTTCCTCATGGAAAGAAGCATACCTATGATAACAAGCCCTTATTAGGACACATTTTCCAAGCATAAAAAAATAAAATGCAGAAAACGGTGAGTTCAAAGCTTACATTTGGAAAAAAAAAAAGATAAACTGTAGACCAAGCTCAACAAAAAGTTTAAATGAAAGTACAAATTCTATATTTTTGCTTTATGGAGAAAGAGTTTCACCTGTGAGTGGTGAAAAACTCTGTATCTATAGCAAAGCCAACAAGAACCTTTTATTGACAATACAAGGACATGCACACCCTGCGCGCAGACAAAGGAACAAGTGAGATTATAATTGAACTACAAAATTTTAATCAATTTTAATTATGCTGTCTTATCATCAGACTGGAAACTACCCATCATTTCCTCATGATGGTCAAAAATAGTGTCTCTTCTCCTTATATACCATAGATCCTCATACAAGAGTTAATTTTTTCTTTGCATTCTCAGAATCACAACAAACACAAAACTAAAAAAAAAAGGGGTTTTTTTCTTTTGTGTGAGTTCTTTGTGTCAGTAGATGTTTTAAAAAATGTAACACTTAATTGGTGCATTTTGTCAGGACAGGATAATTTTTTTGACTTCAACACAGAACATATCCACAATCTGCAAATTCAATGTATATTGCTCTAAGCTTCGTCATGGACTATCTGTGCCTTATAACCAGGTTTCACAGCTTGAGTCAATGACTCAGCATACATTTCCAACTTCTGAGTCATCTAAGAAATGAAGGGAATAAATTTTAGTGGCATCTAAAGAATCTGCTTCAGAGCAGATTTTTTTGAATGTCAGGCAATGATCTGGAAAGGGGGAGTTGCGTGACATCTTTCAGAGTGTAAAGTGAGATGCAAGGGAAAAGTGGTGACCTATTGGTTGGGGCATTGGACTGTGGGTCAATAAGTTCAGGTTCAGACCATGGCCTGATCATAGTGTTGTGTTCTTAGGCAAGATGCTTCACCCTCACTACCCCCTCTCCTCTCAACAGTATACACTGGTACCAAACAGACTATCAGGGACACTTAACAAAATTCTGGAGGGAGGGAGTGGGTTGAACGATGATGTAATAGCATACAAAGTCCTTATGAGCTGAGGAAATAAATGGAAAATTACATATTGAGTAATTGTTATTGTCAAAGTTTATTATTCTTGTACTCCGTTCATCACTTAACACTATAAATATAAACTTGTCCTTTTAAATTCTTTAAAACATTTGATAACTGTAACCAGCAAGTTTTTTTGCATTACCCAGATCCTGCTTTTGAGGGTAACATCCATTTTAAAGTGTTTTTTATAAATACTCTTTCACTCACATATATCTCACAGAAATCATCTTAGTCCTGGTAGCAAGTTGAAGATAGGTTAGAAAGGGAAAAGAAAAACAAATGTCTACTTTACTGACTTATTTCAGCTACCTGGTTTGCCATCCCCTGAAGTAAATTCGTTTTCAAAGACTTCCAATGGAAATTCATAGGGGTATCCAGTCAACTCGCAGAAGGTTTAACTCGCCAACGCCAACTCGCCTACGCGTAAAATCGAGCAGAGACGTCGACGAGTTGGTCTTCGATCCAGTACAACTTATTAGAAGATAGACATATAGAAAAGTAAAAGATATTAAGTGAAAAAACAATTTTTTTCCTTCCAACAAAGTTTATAAGGATCTCGTGACGAATAAATCAAGGTAAAGATCGCCAATGAATATAAAAGCTTCAGACGCGAATTATAACTCGTTCGCGTCTGAAGCTTTTATATTCATTGGCGATGTTTATCTTGATTTATTCGCTATAAAATCCCTAAAAACTTCGTTGGAAGGAAACAAAATCGTTTTTTCACTAAATATCTTTTACTTCTCTGTCTGTTTAACGTTTAATAAGTTGTACTGGATTGAAGACCAACTCACCTACATCTCTACTCGATTTTATACGTCAGCGAGTTGGCGTTGGCGAGTTGAACCGTCGGCGACTAGACCGTAATTCTGTGGATGGCAAAAGAACATATACAGTAAAGAGAAAGCCTTTTATTTTCTCAAATGTAAGATATGTATCATTTCATGGATCTGCAGTAATATGTCTCCCCTCAAGTCTTTTTGACAAAAGCATTTAAGACCTCGAGTCTCTGATTCGCTGAACAAAAAGAGAAGGGCCCACATCTTGACCTTACATCCCTACTCCCCCGTAAGAGATAAAAACCTGACGATGCTCATCCAACGACAAGGCAGAGGTGACTGCAATTAGACAGTTCTTTTCTAACAGGGTAAGTGTATGATGAAATTTGAAGATCCTCGCAGCTAAGAACACTACTGAAACTAGTAGTTGTAAGTAGGACCTGAAAAAAATTTCAGGCCCGTACGGGATTTGAACCCATGACCTCTGCGATACCGGTGCAGCGCTCTACCAATTGAGCTAACAAGCCAACTGGGAGCTGGTCAATGAATTGGGTACAAATAAACATCCGAGTGAATGAAGATTTTAGATATATGAAAATTCACATATTTGCACTGCGGTGGAAAGATGAAATTTGGTAAGTGTACTTACAGGTAATTTAGTGTTAACAACTGGGTTGAAAACGTAAATTAGCCACCGTAAAGGGTAAAAAAGCTGACGTTTCGAGCGTTAGCCCTTCGTCAGAGCGATTAGAGGAATTGTGGGTTGTGTGTGGATTTATATGTAGAAAGTGGAGCTACGCCATTGGTGGGAATATGGTGACGAGAAAACAGGAATAAATTAGTTGAATGAAAAGCGCTCGTTGATTCCGTGGGGATTAAGGGTGCCGATTTGGAATAAAAATTTTTGTTCTAGTGTTTTACGGCTTTCCGAACTGCCTAGATGTAAGGAAAGGCCGCAAACTGCCATATGCTGTTTAGAATGATAAGGAAGATTAAAGTGTCTAGCGACTGGTTTGGATGCGTCCTTGTCATTTCTTTCCACATCGCGAAGGTGTTCTCGGAATCGGTCACCCAGTCGTCTTCCTGTTTCGCCGATGTATAACTTATTGCAATAAGTGCAAGTTATGCAGTAAATAACATTGGCGGAGGTACACGTAAAGTGATCAATGATCTTAATGGATCTTTTGGGTCCCGATATTTTCTCTACGTTATGAATGAAAGGACAAGTTTTGCATCGTGAGCGAGCGCATTTAAAAGTTCCAGATTGGTCATAGGTTTGAAATGAACTCCTTACTAAAAAGTTGCCTATGTTTTTGTGACGTTTGAATGAAATAAGTGGGGGTTGCGAAAAGATAGTGCCAGTCTCTGAATCGTTTTGGAGTAATTTAAAATTTTTAAGAATGATAGATTTAACTGCGTGGTTGTGAGGGTGAAATGTAAGAGTAAATGGAATGCGGTCAGTGTTCTCCTTCTCGGCCGTTTGTAGTGCTGCCTGTCGATCGATTTGTTGGGCACGGTGGTAGCCCGCTTGAACGACAGAAACAGGATAGCCGCGCTTATCGAAAAACTGGCACATTGCTTTACTCTCCCACCGACGCAGCACCACAGTTTCTTTAGAAACTTACCCCTTTATCAAGTGTACTTACAGTCCCAATTCTGTTAATTGCCACAGTGAAGTAGTTGTTGGCTATAGATGCACAGCGAGCCTCAATTCATGGGTTCACTGCAAAACAGATAAGAATATTAGTCTGTAAGCCTAAAGTGCAAAAAAATGGGTGGAAGAGAAGGGGGGGGGTGGGTCAGGAGCACTCCCTTACTTGGACTAAAGGGTATGTGCTAGTGACAAGGTAAGATTTTAAGGCCTTGATGGGATAACCCTACAGGAGTTTCCCTTAAGTGCCCTCCCCCATCAAAAGAGGTTGAGTCCTAAGCTCAAAAAAACACACATACCTTAAAGCACCCACAGTTGCTACTTCAGGATATTATTGGATTTGGGAGGATTTCGTGTAAAACCCTGTTTAACCAGTTTTTATCCCATACAGTTTGACCTAACTTAGTAATGCGGCATTTGTAATTCCCATTAACCGTTCCCACCCCCCCTCCAAAAAAATGTTCGCCTAAGAAACAATGAATGTACTAATTTAATACATGCCAATCTAATCAGTACCCCAAGGTTTTGAATTTTTGACGTTCCATCTGAGAATGGATCATAAATGAAAAAAAAAATATATATATATATATGAAATTAACAGTTCAACTGAAGGAAGCACTCCTAAAGAAATCAATGAAATGTGTCTTGCAAAATAAGCCTCATGTTTTATTCTATCCTGGATAAATTGTAATTATTTAACCATACAAATAG